AACAAAAGAAGGGATTTTGTTAAATCAGAGGAAGTATGCTCTTGAGCTTATTCGAGATTCAGGAATAGGGGTGCGAAACCTGTTGCAACACCCTTGGAACAGAACACTAAGCTTACCACAGTGGAGTATGATCGTTTCCTGCAACAAAAAAACAAAGGTGAAGATTGTTTAGCTGACAAAGCAGAATTTCAGAGGTTAATTGGTAGGCTGCTTTACTTAACACATACAAGACCTGATATAGCTTTTTCAGTTCAGCATCTTAGTCAATTTATGCATCAACCAAAGAAAGAGCACATGGAGGCAGCTCTTAGAGTGGTAAAGTACATAAAAAATAATCCTGGTTTGGGAATTTTTTTGAAAGCTTCAAGTAGTTGTCAACTTGTGGCTAGTTGTGATTCGGATTGGGCGACATGTCCAATGACAAGAAAATCAGTGACAGTTTCTGTGTAAAGCTAGGAGATTCACTAGTTTCATGGAAATCAAAAAAACAAAGCACCATGGCAAGATCTTCAGCAGAAGCTGAGTATAGGAGCATGGCAGTGACAACGTCAGAACTAGTTTGGTTGCAAGGGTTGTTAAAGGAGCTTGGAGTTAACAACAATCAACCTACAAAAATTTTTAGCGACAGCAGAGCAGCCTTACAAATTGCAGCAAATCCAGTGTTTCATGAGAGAACAAAGCATATCGAGATAGACTGCCATTTCATAAGAGAGAAAATTCAGCAGGGCTTGATTCAAACCGAATTTGTACCAACTGCAGAGCAACAAGCTGATATTTTAACAAAAGCTCTTGGCGTTACACAACATAAGTATCTTTTATCCAAGTTGGGAGTTAAGGATGTATTTCACTTCCCAACTTGAGGGGGAGTGTTAAGAGTAAAGAAACTGTTTGTACAGTTAGGGGTTAGTTAGAGAATTAGTTAGGCAGTTATATTGTAACTAATTCTATTGTAAAAACTATATAAGTGATGCATATGAAGTAAATTAATCATATAGAGGCATTTCAGTAATCCTACTGTTTTAACAAATTTAAGATTACTTTCGGGAATAATATTACTGGAAAATAGGATTACTATGGGAATGTTGTAATAGCTTGTTCGGATTGTTTAACTTGAATGTAAAACTACAGTGTTTGGTTAGAGTAATATAAGATTACTTGAATACATATTTTACAAAATTATCCTTGTGATATATGTTTTTTAAAAAGGTTGAACTTTAATATTAAATTAAAAATATTTGTATGAAAATTCATAAAAATATTTTAATAGTTATATTATCTAATTTTTTTAGAAAGAATAAATTTAATATATAATTAGTATGTTAAACTTATATTTTTAAATAATTTTCATAAGTATCATATTTATTTATATAAAATAATAATATATGAAAAATATATTATGATCTCGAAAAGATTTTTTTGTCAATAACTTAAAATTAGATATTGTTTTAAATAATTACATTTTTACAATCATACTATTTTTCACCTCATAAAATTATAAATAATTAATATATTAAATAAAAAATAAAAAATAAATTTAAATAATCAAATTTATTAATATTTTACTAAATTAAACTTTTTGCATATTATTATTATATTTATAATTTTAAATAAAGAAAAAAAAAAGAATTGAAAAGGATCGTTATAAAAAAGAATTCATTAGTTTAGAGGTATTATTGTCCAAAGTGATGAGAATTGTCTAATACATAAGAATTTGGAGTTAATGGCATTCCTACCATTTTAACAAAAAAACCCTACTATTCGGAAATGATTATTCCCTGATAATAATTTTTTTTCGTAAACCAAATGTGAGAATCCTATTTCGGAAAAGATTATTCCCCTTGATAACATTATTTTATGCAAATCAAACGCCCCTCACAGTATTGTGTTCAAAATCAACTAAAATTAGGTTCAAATTATTGGATTGTTAATTAGTTTTTTTTTTAAATTGGATCATCTTAACTATAACTTTTTCTTAAAAACTTTAAGATCTAATGTTTTGATTCATTTGGTGTAATAATATCATCTACTATTTTTTATAAATATATTATTATTTGAAATTTGAGTTATATATATATATATTGATTATATTATTGTAATTGTAATTATATGTTTTTAAAAATAATGATAAATATAAGATTAAATAGTATTTTGATCTTGAAATCGTATTTTATTATCGTTTTAGTATTTAAATATTTCTTTATCGCTTTAATGCTCTAGAAACATGATATATAACACATATATGAATTAAATTTATTAAAAAAATCATAAAACTCAAAAAGTCCTATTTTTTTTTTAAATGTTTTTTATTTTAAGATTATTTATTATGTGTTATGTACTGCATGGAACATCATAAAATATCATGTACCTTTTTTTTGTAATGATTTTTATTAAAAAAAATTCAGACGTCTAACTAAATAAGAAAAAAAAAATGGCAAAACAGTATAAGATACAGCTTTAATGGTAAAAAAATCATTTAACCCATAAATATCAAACTAAATCCAGCTTTACCTTTCAGTTAAAAAATAAAACAAGCCTACTTTTTCCCCAACAGTTGAATATTAAGGGTGCATTTGGTTCATAGAAAGTAGTTTTACTTCGAGAATAGGATTATCAGAATGTAACATTACTTAACACATTACTGGGAATGTTGCATTGTTGTGTTTGGTTCGTTTAGCAGAATGTAAGATTACAATGTTTGATTAAATGAATAAAAGATTATTAGAATATATATTTTACCAAATTATCCTTATTATATATATATATATATATATACAAGTTAAATTCTAAATATTTAAATGAAAATATTAGAATGTAATATCAGTGAAAATATATAATTTTACTATAATTAATTTATATATATATTTTAAAAATTTTAAATTTATTAAATTTTATATAATTTTTTTTACAAAATTTAAAAGATAAATAGGTTTAATTTTATTTTAACCACTAAACTTCATATAAAATTCTAATTATGAACTTTTTTATAAATCTAAAATAGTTTAAGGATAAATTTGTAATTTAACCTTTGTACAATTTCTTTATTCAACGATTGAAGAAATATATATTTTTTTTAAAAAATTAAGGGCATTTTAATCTAAAACACAGGGAATTTAACAATACCTAAGAGAGTGGGAAGCCTGCTTGAGATCTGATTTGATAGATTTAGTCCTTACCGAGGACATGACCTCTGATAGGAAAGTATGGAGACTTAAGACTAGGATAGTCGAGTAGTGTAGGTCACATCTCTAGGGTGTATCATCTTTGTCTTCTTTTAATGCCTTTGTAGTAATTTTCATGACTCCTACTTTTTATTCGTTTCTATTATTGGTATTAATGAAGGCTTAGAACTGGGCTTGCTATCGTTTGACTTCTGTGTATCATTCTCTCCACTTTTAATTTTAGTCGGGTCTTACGTTTCTGTCTATATACAGAGAATTTTTCGCATGGATTTTTTTTTTGCAAGGATTACTGCCCATTACAGACGCGCATATGATATTAATGATATTAATAACTGCATATGATTACTGTTCAACTATGTATTTTGTATTTATTTATACATGCATTGCATTTTATCTATATTTTTAATTTTCTGACTGCCGGAGGTCTTCCACGGAAGCTACTCTCAACCTGGCGTTGGGAGCAGCCTACTACCTTACCTCCCCCTTATCCCATTGCATATGGGAATTGGGTTTTGTTGTTGTTGTTGTTGTTGTAAGAGAGTGGGAAGATCACATTCACGGTAATAAACCCCCAAAATACTACTATTAGGAATGACTTATTACCGAAGGTTGAGAATCTTTACAATCTAAACGGAAGAATCACACTCCGAAAAAAATATTCCCTAATAATCTCACACACCCCAAACCAATAGCACCCTAACAGCTGTTTCATACTTCTCGACATTGATTAAAAATTAATGATCTTATAAAATCGGATTTGAAATTATTATTTTAAATTATTAAAAGTATATAGAAACTACGGGCGCGAACTTCAGTGGTACTCTCGATGTGAAGTCTGAATTAAGAAACACCTTTCCCACCTCAGTTTACAAAAACCGACAAATTGTTATAAAGGTTTAATTATAATTTTAGTCCCTTTACTATATTTAACCTTCAATTTAAACCATTTGACATAATTTAATTTTTCTAGTCTTAGAATATTATTAGTATAAATAAAATAATAATATATTTAATTATTTATGTTAAAGAAATGACATGATTTAAGGAAAACCTAAATTATCACTTTTACGGATCAATTGATGGTAAAATCTTTTTAATAACTCGTTGAAAAATTTTGGATTAATAAAGTTTATGAAAAGTTATTTTTTTTTTCAAGTAGGATATTTACTACAATACCATCGGAAGTGTCTGAAACACATGACTTTAGGAAGTAGTCTGGAGTGTGAGGTATCTTCTTCAGATTTCATACATGTACGATAATAAAGATAGTCGGTGATACTCCAAAAGTCATCGAATGATCCATATAACTTCCAACAAATATTATAACAAACACCTTAATAGAAAAAAGGATTTCTAATAAGAAAATTGTTCAACGTTTTTATCGGAGTGATTTTACTATCAATATCGATTTAAATTTACTAATGATATTATTAACATAATTGATTGAAGTATTTAAAACTAAATGAACAGATTAATTTGTATATTTCAGTAGAATACAAGAGTTGAAATCAGAATTTGGGCAGAAAGGAGTCCCATGTGGCAGAGTCGTAGACCAAGAAATAATCAACAAAAAAAATGTCTTTTTCTTTGTGTCCCTCCTTTCCTACATTCACACGGGCAGAAGAAGAAAGTCATTCCTATTATTGTCCTTATAATAAGCGCGTTGCCAATGAAGAAGCTTGGAAATGTCCCACCCATCTCCTCAAATACCCTTACGTCTATCTGCTGCTGCTTCACTTCATCCCTAAAAACCCTACCACCCAACTCAAACACATCATAAAAGGTCCACTGAGTCACGACGCCAGGATTGTAGAGGCATCCATGGCGTCGCTCATTGCTGGCGGTGATGCCTCTTCTTTCTCCTCCAAGTCCACGCTTCAATTCTTAGCCTTCGAGGCGGCGAAAACTATGTCTCGCCTTGTCGCACTGTATAACTCTCTCTCAGACGATGAATTCTTCAAACTCCGTCAAGGCCCCGTGAAGTCCTGTGGCGTCGCCTTTTTAAACTCTGCCGATGAAAGCTATCTTCTTGAACTTGCGTGTAAAGAGAAGCTCGAGGATCTCGGTCAAGCCGTGGCTGTGGTTTCTCGTTTGAGTAAGAAATGCATCGATGAAGAACTCAACCGGTTCGAAATTGCTTACCAGAAAGTGACACAGGGAGTAATGGAAATTGGAAATTTTAATTTTAGCTCTAGAAACGTTGGGAAAAACATTAAAAAGATGGAGAAATACGTGAACACGACGTCTGCTCTATACGAATCGTTGGTTGCCCTCAACGAATTAGAAGCGTCGGAGAAGAAAATGCAGAAATGGAAGATCAGCAAAGATTACTTTAACCAGAATATCACTTTCCAGAGAAAGCAAGTTGTACATTTCAAAAAGGTTTCCCTTTGGAGCCAAAGATTTGATACAACTGTGGGATTAATGGCTCGAATCGTCTTTGCGGTTTACTCCAGAATCTGCACCATTTTTGGACCCTTCGTTCCGAGTCTTCCGTGCTTTTATATTCCCAGAAGAAAAGCTTTAAACATGAAGGTTTATCCAGAGGCCAATTATTGCCTTCTCGTGGACAAAGACAAGTATATGAAACAAGCCTCGAAATCGGGCCCACTCATGAAAGCTTCGAAGACCAAACCAAGATCAGCTGAAGTTAACGCCTTGGGTTTCCAAATTCCAGTGATAAGAAACAAAAGGCTGATACAATCGGCTCCGGCGGGCACCGTGGGAGCAGCGGGGCTTGCCTTTCGTTATGCGAACCTAATCATCATGGCAGAGAGCTGTTTCCACACGGCAACAAGCATCGGCGAGGAAGTTCGAGAGAACATGTTCGAGATGTTGCCGATAAGCCTGAAACGAGCTTTGAGAAGGAAGCTGAAAGGGAAATGGGGCGAAGAGAGCGACGGGGGACAAGGTCTGGCACAAGGGTGGAAAGAGGCGTTGGAGGAGATAATCGGGTGGTTGGCACCGATGGCACATGATACGTTGCGATGGCTGCAAGAGAGAGACTCGGAGCAACAAAAACTGAACGCAAAGCCGACGGTTTTGTTGTTGCAGACATTGCATTTCTCCGATTTGGAGAAAACGGAGGCTGCGATCGTGGAGGTTTTGGTAGGGTTGAGTTATATATATATGCACGAGAATCGGCGGGAGAGGCTTGCTGATGGTTGTTTTTGGTTATGATGAAACCAATGAAGGAGTTGGTTTTTCATTATTATTTCAGAATTCAGATTAGGTTTTCCTAGGCCTCTTTTCTCTGGGATAGTATACTCGATTGGTTGATTCTTTTACAAGTGAAATACCACATTAATTCGTGCTTTAAACTAATAAACTTCTTTATTCGAACTATTAATGTGGAGTGTTACAACTCGATTTAGGGGTTAAATATTTTTTAAGGACTAAATTGAGATTTCATTTAAATTTTGAATAGATTTCGTAAATTGGAGGAAAAATAAGGACTAGAAGGATGGTTTTACCCCTTTTTTTAATATAAAATTGGGTTATAAACCCCTTACCTGGAAAGATCATTGTCATACTTTACAATCCCCAAATCTCCCTCTCTCGCATGCTTCCCTTTATAAACATTTTTTCTCAAAGAAACTTTAAACGCCATTTCGTCGATGTTTGAGCTTCGATTAACTAAACCGCCGGCACCAATGTGTTCCTGACGTTGAGAGGAGTCAATTGGTGTCCTCAGATTTGCTATCGTCGTCGGTGTGTGAGGTGTGAAGAGGAAGAAGTTTCCAACAATTCGAAATCGAGCTCTCTGTCATTTACCGACGTGAACCGAGCTTGGTAAGTGCCTCAACACCTCATAAAATGAATTTTAGATTTATTTTTAAAAAAATTCTAATGCCATGAGATGTCGCACGTGCCCTCATGCGTCGTCGCTGTGCATGGGGTTATTCCACCGTCTAGTGGACCTTCTAGAAGCGTGTCAACCCGACTCATTGACCCGACCCAAAACCCATCTAGTCCAATTCCCTTTAGCCCAAACTGGTCCAACTGAGTCAAGTCGAGCCACACCAAGTCGATCCGAGTCTAGCTGTTGACTGTTGATCGTCGTTGTTGACCATTGACTTTTTTCGAGACAACCTATCCTGGTATTTTTCGACATCTTAAGTCCGTTTTTGCAATCTATTTCACCAAATTCGAACCCAATAAGTTGGTTTTGACATTTTATTTTTTTGATCCGATTTTCACGTTTAAATTATGTTCCTGATAGAATTCTTTTTGCCATGTATCCAAGATTGTAATACCCCAAACATCATGTCAATGACTAAAATATAAGGATTTAAAATTTAGCGGTTAAATTTTATAAATTAAAAAGTTTAAGGACTAATTTAGAAATTTATCTAGGAATTATTATTAAAGATTGAAGAATGGAAGGACATATTGGTTTTTTATTTTTGCAGGAAATAAAATTCATTTCTAAACCCATTTAAACATGTGAGGAAATAGAAAAGGGAAAGAAAAGTGTGGAACTCTTGGTTATTTTCTATTCTTCTTTCTTTTGCCCGTGAACCTTTATTTCCAAGGAGAGTTAATTTCAAGTTAGTTGTTTCTTGAATTTTTAAGTTGGTTTTTAGTCCTTGGGTGATGTAAAAGCTTAAGGAAAGCTTAAGGATGATTAGAAGCTAAGAGATTGAGAAATTATGGTGAATTAGGAAAAGGGGTTTTTAAGGGAGTTTAAGAAATATGGTTAGTAATTGGATTCTAAATGCATATTTGACTTGTCAAAGCTCTAATTAATGTGTTTAAAGCTTTAGAAAGGATTAAGAACATGTTTGATTGATGGATATGAAATTTTAGTTTAAGAGTTCGATGGATAAATTTAGATGTTATAAGGAGATTTATAGAGGTAAGTTAACTAGGATAAGTGATAATTAGTTTGAGGGTATGATTGGAGTTAAGAGTAAGAGATTTAGGTGAATTTTGAGTAAAATTCGAAGTGAAATAAATGAAATCTGGGTGAAGGTATCGGTATTGGAAGAACAGTACTGATATTATAAGGTTAAATTGAAGGAAAGATTTTGAATACGATTAACAATATCGATACTGATTGAAGTAGTATCGATACTGATATTGGGGTATCGATACCAAAAGTAAGGTATCGAAATTATTATTGAGGATGAAATTCTAGAATGCTAAAATGGTATCGATACCGAAGTGTGTATTGGTACCATAAAAGAGAAGTATCGGTGCTGTATTCAACCTAAAATGTTAGATTAGGTGTTTCATTTCGTTTATGTAAGTGCTAATTGGGTATTCGTTAATGGAAAGTTGGTATTGATCTTAGGCATATTGATTTGTAGATTTGGAACGAAAGTGTACTGATCGAAGCGATATAGCAAAGAGACTGAACAAAAGTTAAAAAAGATTTCATTTAGGACTTACGTGAGGCAAAGTTGAGTGTAATTTATATTTTTATATTAGATATGAGGACGGCTTGCGATAAGCCAACCTCGAAGTTTTTAATCGAAAACAATTTTATTTCTTTTATGCAATATTTTTATAATAATTTATCCAAATTATATTTCTGAAGTTATGTTTTGATTTTTACATGAATGTGTTATATGTAAATATGCACTATGTGAATATGATTTACATGAATGTGGTTTATGAGAATAAAAGACATGTTGAATAATGAAATGTGAAATAATTTATATGTTAAAGCCCAAAGTATATGTATGAGAATTAGAGGTATAGTTGGCATACCAAGAGTCGAGGGTTCTACGCGGTCCTTTGAGACAAATTTCTACGTGGTCCTTCGGGACAAATTCTATGCAGTCCTTCGGGACAAATTCTACACAGTCCTTCGGGACAAATCTATGTGGCACTTCGGTGCATATTCTACATGGCACTTCGGTGCAAATTATGCGAGCAGTGGTGACTGCATTTAGTGCACAACCTCAATGTACTCAGATACCTTGAGTTCTCAATAATATGCATTGGGCTAATAAAATAAAATGATATAAATTGAATAATAAATAAAATATATGTCATGTTTATGAAATGTATCTTGATTTCACTATGAATGTTTTATATGGATTGAATAAGAAAGTGTTTTGAAATGTTTTACTACTCTCATTATTGCCTCCCTAAGTCATCGACTTAGTGTGTGATTGTTTCACACGTAGGTACAAAAAGATCCGAGGAGTAAAGCTAGGAAAGGGCAACATACAACTGAAGACAATGAGATCAGAATTATTTGAATTATAGGTGTTTTATTTTGGTTACTTCGAAATTTTGTTGGCATGTATTATAAGGTTTTAAATTGAATAGCTCTGATTAATTTTGTAATTATACTATTTTAAGTTATGTAAATATATTGAGTATTTATTATCATTGTGAATTATAAATTTTAATAGTAACTTTGGTTTAAGGGTTTCACCACTTAAATACAAATAAAAGTTTAAAATTTCAACAAGTTTTCAAAGAGTCAAAGTTTTGAAAAGTAAATGTGACACCTCATATTCGTATCCTGATCGGTTACGGGTTGGGGTGTTATATTTATTGGTATCAGAGCTAAATTTTAACTGATTTTAAGTTAAAAATGAAGCAAATTGTGATTTTAAAGTGTACATGCCAACAAAAGGTTAAAAATTTCTTATATTATAGGGTAAATTGTATGTTGTCCTTGCTAATAGAGTTAGTGATTTTATCTTAATAAATATCGGACTACGAGGGCTCCCGAAGTGAACCAGGAAATGGTTTTTGAGGGGAGTAGTAATTCACCTACCCTAGTTAGGCAAGGTGAAGAGCAGAAGCATCAAGGAGTGCCTGTGCAAGATCAAGGGATCTTTTTCCGGACGTTAGACGTGATTCTGACGCGTTTTCAACCGTCTGCTTACCCATCTCCTAAGATGAATGTGGAGAAGGAGCTTAAAATTTTAGGAACGCCTGAGTTTATAGGAGAAGCTGAGGAAGGTATCGTTTTTACGGATCTTTGGCTAAACGACGTTAAGATTATGCTTGAGGGTCTATATTGTTCTGATATGGAGAAGTTGGATGGAGTAGTCTCATTGCTACGAGGACAAGCACTAATATGGTGGACCAATATGACAATGGGAGTATCTAGAGATCAAGTGAAGTGGCCGTTCTTTTTGGAAGAGTTCAAGAACAAGTATATCAGTGATCATTTTATCCATCAAATGAAACAATAACTCATGAATTTGAAGCAAGGGAATCGTACTGTGTATGAGTATGAGTGCAAGTTCAACAAATTGAGTAGATTTGCAGCTGAATTGGTTCCGACGGAAAAAGACTCATGTGATTGGTTTGTGGAGGGTTTGCGCCCTAGATTGAAGGAGTTGCTGTTAGCGCTAAACCTTTCAACATTTAAAGAAGTGGTAAATCGAGCTAAAGCCACGGAGTGGGCTCAGAATGAAAGATTTGGGGAGCAAAAGACTAAGTGGAACAAGAGAGTTGGTGCTTCATTGAGTGCATTGAAATCAAAGTTAAGCCGAGGTTCGGGTTTACGACCTCAATCTAAATCTGACTCAGCTGTATCCTCAGGTAAAGGATCAAATCCTGTGAAAGTTAAGCAGAATTAATCTACTAAATCAGGAGCTAGAAGGCCAAGTCAATGTCAGCATTGTGGTAAACATCATAGTGGCAATTGTCGAATGGTTTCCGGAGCATGCTTCAGATGTGGGGACATGAGATATTTTATCTGGGATTACCCATTGATAACTGGAGAGCCTGCACAATCTGAGAGATTTGATATTTTACCTCAGAGAGGTAGATGATGAGGTTGAGGAAGAAATCAATCTGAGTCGACCACTAAAATTGAAATACACTCGAATGCTCAGGTGTATAATCTTAAGACTAGTGAAGACCGTGATGATCCTAAGATCATTACAGGTACTTTCCATTTATTTGATAAACTTGTTTTGGTCTTGATTGACCCGAGATCAACTTATTCTTATATTAGTAGTAAATTGGTGAGAGAATTGACAATTCAGTTAGAAGCTATAAGTAGTGAGGTGATTGTGACTAACCCGCTAGGGCATAGTGCTTGGGTGAATCAAATTTGTTGAGGGTGTCCTATAAGGATTTAGGGAATTGAATTCCTTGCTAATATAATTGAATTACCCTTTAATGAGTTTGAAGTTATTATAGGAATGGATTGGATGTATCATTACCATGCCACTGTCAACTGTCGATTGAAGAAGGCAGTG